AAAGTCAATTAATTTTTTTAAAATTAGAAGATGGGTGTTAAATGAACTAATTAGTTATATGGTAATCTTTTTTTTCTAGAAGTAAGAGGTCCTAAGTTCAAGTTGCATGATATATAATGGGGTGAGTTAAGGAATGAAAGAGGATTAACTCCAATTATGCAAATCAAGATAAAAAAGGAAAAAAATTTAAAGGATCGATAAAAAATAGTTATAATATTGAACTTTCTATGAGAAAGATTATTTTTTTTCTTTCTTTTTTTAAGAAATAGATATTGTATTAAAATAAATAAATCAAGATTACATATAAATCTCTCTCCACTCATAGGAAAAGTTGAAGTTTATCTTATAGCACTAGATATAAAAAAAGCTATGTCTATGATGGATATAAACAATTAAATATAGAGAGACACTTATACTTAGAGTTTACAATAACTATCATTTTTAGGGGCATAAACAAAGTTATTTTATACTACAAATGTAAAAAGAAAGTTGTTATAAGTATCCTAAGTTACTGAATAGCGCCCACCCATTAAATGCCACACTGAAGAGGAGATGCACTAGTTCATAAGGGAGTTGAAGTCTCCTAAAATTAAATCAAGATTATTCACTGCAAGAAAATGGACTTTTAGTGATGGATAAATTATTTTTTGCTTGTCACTAATATCATTTATATTTGTGACTCATTCAAAACAGTGGTCACAAATACCCACTTTTGAAATTAGAGTGTATGTTTTCAACACAAAAATTATGTTTGATTACAAAAGATTCGTCCCGATTCACAATAAACAACATGAATTTCTAACAATTGAAATTATTACAGCAAAGTAGCTATTAGTTACTGATAAAATATTAGTCACAAATTATTAATTTTTGTCATAGCTACCAAATTTGACTTGTGAGTAAATTGCTCATTAGTAACAATTATATTTTGTGATTGTTTGAAGGATTTGTCACAAAAAATCACAAAAATTAACCAATTTTCTTGTCAAAATTAATCTACAATTGAACTTAAGAAATAAATAAATTTGTGACAGTAATAATTGTTGTAATTAGTGAATATTTGTGATAATATGTCTGTATAGGGAATTTCAGAAATTTATTTTTAATTAGATAAAATAGAAAAATAATTTTATTAAAATATAGATTTTGATAAAAATAATTTTTTAAAAAATGTGCCAAATCTTCATTCCCAAACAATATTATATTCTTCCAATACTTTAAAAACCATGCTGGATTGAGGCTCCTAACTCTCTCGAGTATCTAACCACTATTTGTTTATGAAATATTTAATCATTCCTTGCGCTAAATTCAAAGATTTTACACATCCATGAGGATTTAAATGGTCAAGCTCTACTTACATTGAGTTGTAATTTTAACTTGAAACCCATCGATTGCACAAAACCTGTGCTACTTCAAAAAATCTGGACAAAACAACAAATGTAGGAGCAGATATGGATCCAGAGTTTACTGCACGGTTAGAAGAATGCTTGAGAAAGCATGAAGATGTATTTACATGAAGTGCAGCAGACATGCCTAGAATAGACCCTAAAGTTGCATGCCACAGGCTTGAGGTACCTCTAGAAGCTGTGCTAATAAGACAAAAGATGAGACAATTTGGAGCCGAAAGAACCATAGTTATAAGGGAAGAAATAGCAAAGTTAAAACAAGTGAGATTTATAAAAGAAATAAACTTCTATGAGTGGCTATACAACGTTGTCATGGTAAAAAAAGCAAATGGAAAATGGTGCATGTGCATTGATTTCATTAACCTTAATAAAGTGTGCCCTAAGGACAACTATGCACTCTCAAATATAGACGAGTTAGTAGACAATTCCTCTAGATACGATGTACTCAGCTTTGTGACGCCTATTCTATATACAATCAAATCCCAATGGCAGAGGAGGATCAAGACAAAACAGCTTTCATCGCAACTGGAGAAACATATTGCTACATAGTAATGCCATTTGGCCTAAAAAATGCAGGTGCAACATACTAGCGTTGTGCAAATAAAATTTTTGTGCTATTGAAGGGTAGGTTCATGGAAGTGTATGTTGATGACCTAATAATAAAAAGTAAAAGTTTAGATTAGCATCTCGAAGATTTAGAGCAAGTTTTCAACATATTGTAGAAAAATAATATGAAATTAAACCCTTTGAAATGTACATATGGAGTAAGGGCTAGAAAATTTTTAGGCTTCATGTTGACCAGTAGAGGTATTGAAGCAAACTTGAAAAAGGTGCATGCAATAATAAAAATGAAGCCCCCAGCTTCAATAAAAAAATACAACACCATATGGGAAAAGTTGTGGCGTTGGGAAGATTTTTATCAAAACCCATAGAAAGGTGCTTACCCATCTTTAAAATCCTATGATGAAAGAAAAACTTTGAGTGGACACAGGATTGTTAGAAAGCTTTTGAACAGTTAAAAATGTACCTTTCATTACCCACCTTTAATTAGCAGACCTATTCTCGGAGAGACATTATTTCTATATGTAGCAGTAACAACAGAAGCAATTAGCATAGCTTTAATCTTGCAAGATCAAAAGAGGCAAAAACCTGTGTACTTCATAAGCAAAGCGTTGCAAGAACCAGAAAAGAAACACACACCTTTAGAGAAACTGGCATATGCAATAATCATAGCAGCTAGACGACTCAGATATTATTTTCTGGAACACAAAATTATAAATCTAACCAACTACCCATTGAGGCGTGTGTTGCACAGACCATATTTAGCAGGGAGGTTGGTAAAGTGGAGCATTGAGCTTACAGAATTTGATGTGGAATTCCAACCATGGAAGGCTATGAAAGCACAAGTCTAGGCAAATTTCATAGTAGAATTGAGTAGAGAGGAAAAAGCTATGCTTGACGCACCTTTGCTAGTACTCCCAACAAAACAGCAACCATTCACTACTAGAAAAATGACGTATACGGACCGAACATATACGGACCAAATAGTGTCGGTCCGAATAAATAAATATCCGAACCAATATCGGTCCAAACATATTTAGGTGGTCCAAAGTATACTACTGAACATATTCGGACCGGTATCGGTCCGTATATTTCTAGCGGGAATCCACAGTATCAAAGCGTCAATAATATTCACACCGAAAACGGTCCGAATATTATTCCTGAAAAAAATAAATATTAAATAACAAAAAATATGAATTAAATATTATTTAAAGAAATCTATACGGACCGGTTTCGGTCTGTATATATTCATTAGAAAATCGAAAATTTCATTTTTATATTCGGACCGATTTCGGTCTGTATATTTATTATTTTT